CGTGAACCCGCCGGATGGGTTCACTTGTAGAGCTAAAATGTTGAAAGTTGGTTATTATCGTCAAAATTAATTCCTTTGCAGTGTTTGGGGTCATATTAATGAGAGCTCGTCCACTATCAGCATCGATCATTTTCATCTCTATGGAAAACAATCATTCGTAGAAATATTAGAGAAGCGTTTTTCAGTTAATTCGTGTTGCAGACAACTTGCACAAAGCTTCTTGAATCGCTCTCAATAATCATAAAACAGTTCCCCATCTTTTTGTTTAATTCCCAATATGATTCTTCTCAATTTGCTTGCCTTTGCTGCTAGGAAAAACCTATCAATAAAATACAATTTAAATCAACCCATGTATTAATTGAATTTGAAGGCAAATAAAATAACCATTATTTTGCTAAGCCATATCAAGAAAATGGAAAAGCTCATAATTTAATTTGGTCTTCGGATACTCCTTGTGGTTTCATAATGGAATAGACCATATATAAGTCTATGGGATGTTTATTCTAATTATCACTGGGAAGTTCGTTGAAGGTAGGAAGAAGATGAATTATCCCCGTTTTTAGTTGAAATAGAGTTTCGCCTTGAAGGAAGGCAATACAGAGAGGTTGTTGAACCACAAGGGTGGCGTCCAACTCACGAATGGTTCGATCGACCATCGGTATTGACAGTGGTGTGTGATTGACATTAGATGCGACTACTTCGAGTGTTGAATTGGTAATAGGTACGGTATCAGGTATGGGGGGCGATTCAGCGTAGGGTGATGATTCTGAGATATGTATTGGTTCTAAATGGGAGTTAGCATTAATTGATTCTTCGAGATTTGCTCGTTCTTGTCGTCTTCTTTTCTCGCAAAATGTTTTGGATTCGTCTAGCTCGTGCTTCAATTTCTGGATCAAATTCTTCTAATGTTTTTGGGTTTTACCTGATCATAAATCAAAAACAAAATAAATTAGTAACTTTTGTCGTAGTCCCCGACAACGATGCCAATTTGACACACGTCGTTTCTATGTCAAATAATTTATCTTTAATATCAATAAAAAGAAAATAGAAAAAATTAATAAAGAGAGTAAGGGTCGATCCGTAAGGACTAAGGAAGTTACAGAAAATTTGGTTCTTGATTTCTGATCTGGCATGAATTGCAAAGAAAATAAAAATGGGGAGTTTTTTAAGAAGCTTGTAAAGAAATTGAAATATTTAATCCAAAGAAAACAAAAAAAATGATTTAAAGAAAGTAAAGATGAAATTTCTATTGGTAAAAATTAGCCTCATGCTTTAGATTTTGCCTCAATTCCAAATGATCATTGAATAGGATTTTAGCTTCGGATTCATGTCGGTTACAGTCTATAGGGCCCAATCTCTATAACTTGTTTTTCTCTCAATTAACTGATCATCAAAATCAATCATGTGGACTAACCACGACAATCATTTGTTAAATCCAACTCCGTTTTAGTTTTGGAAAAACCCGACTCGAATTATAGCATTTCAATGATAATTGAACCTGATTTTAGTTTCCCTTAGAGGATCGCTGCTAAATGTGTTCAAAGGAAGTCAAATGTGCTACAAGACAATCCTTCCTCCCAACTGTTAATCGAAATCATAATCAATCCAACATGCACTTTTAGAAAAGAAAATAATTTTTATTATAAAAGGATGACTGATTGCCAATCCTTGATTCTAGAAAACTGAAAATGTAACCCGAAGGGTATGAGCTGCTTTTCAATTCTCACGATCGGGTTTGAGTCATGGCTTCATCCTTTGGCTTATGAAAAACTTAGCTAAGCATGGTAGAAACCATACTTAGCATTTTAAAAATAAAGAAAGCTTGAAAACAAAAATAAAGAAAATCGAAAGTCAAATAAAAGTAATTTTATAAAAACTAAAGAAAGAAACAAAAGAATTCGAGAGATGAGAGATATGTTTTTGAGCTTACCCCGATGGGATATTTATACTCTTCTAAAACCCTAAAGACGAATAAATAAATAACAAAAAATAATTCTTGAAAAATATCCAAACTTAATCCTAAAAATAAAAGATAATTCCTAAAAACAAAAGATAATCCTAATTTCAAATTGGAAGTTGCGTCTGAGTCTTCCGTCTTCACGAAAATGTTTACTGGACCTTCTAAAAGGTGTTGATTGGATGCCACGTCAACCACAACCATGCCTCAAGCCATGCCCACTAGTCCAACTATGACTCTAGAAAATGTAAACATTACAGAATTTCATCTCTTTTAGCATCATTTATGAAATCTACTGTCTTGCATAGAAAATGAACGAAAACACTCAAATCAGAAACTTAAATCAACTAATCAAGGAGTAATTATCAACAAAATATTAACTAATTTGATCACTAATCACATTTCTATCGCAACATAACATAATTTCCATAATTTATTTTAGTTGACTTTGTTGGCAATAACGGAACTCAACATTATTTATTGAAGGGGTCAATTAAATTTTCTTATATGTATTAATTAAAACATTTTAATATTTTTCTCGATGTAAATCATATATTAAAATATCATACTAATATTTTTTTATAAATTCTTAAAATTTATATCTGACATACAAATTCAAATAAATAAAATACACAAACAATAATGCTATCTAGAATTATGTCTAAATTTTTATTTTTAAAGATGAAAGTATATGAATCCACATAATAAATACAAATATTTGAAATAAAATCATAAATATAAATTAAATTAAAAACATTTAAAAAATTAATGATATTAAAAGTTAAATATTTGATAACTTGACTAAAGTATTTAATTCAATAAAGATGAATATGTATAGTAAACGAACAACCAACCAGGAAAAACATAAAAATATGATCTCTTACAATAGAAAAATGAAAATGAAAAATAAATTTTCATTCATTTTAAAATAAAATAATAATGCAAAAAAAAAAAGAGATGTTAACTATTTTAATAAATGATATTTAAGTGGTTTTCAAATTCTAAAATGGAATATGCATTTTTTTCGGGTAATCAAATTTACTAACTTATTATACACGTGTTTTGAGGGAACCCAATTTAATAATTTAATATATCTTTACATATTATATATATATATATGTATGTATATGTGTATATATATATATATATATATATATATATATATATGTGTGTATATATATATATATGTATATGTGTATATGTATATGTGTATATATATGAAATGACCATCCAACTCAGTTGGTAGAGCACAAGGTTCTTAACTTTGAGGTCGTGGGATCGAGTTCCATGGAAGGCATTTCATAATTTGGAGGTCTCTTATGGAAGCTGCTCTCAACCTAGTGTTGGGGGCAGCCTACTATCTTCCCCCCTTACCCCATTACATATGGGAACAAGGGACAACCATATATATATATATATATATATTATTTTAGGCATAATGTCGGAAGAAACTTCTCACGTTGTCAAATTGATCATTTTGTTTCATAATATTTTTTAAGCATTTTGCTCCTAATATTTGATTGAATAATGATATTTACTTTTTTTTGAAGCATTTTAATTCATAATATTTTATTTTAGGATAAAAATGCCCTTATTTTGTAGCGTTAATAGTTTGTTAACTAATAATTTCTATCCACAAATGGGTTTTTTAATCCCAAAATAAAACGTTCAAGCCAAAATGCTCAAAAAAAGAATATGAGTTAAAATGACTATTTTAATAAACATTAGAGACTAATTTTAACTTTATACCTATTATTTTGTAATATTTTTTTGGGTGGGTCATGGCTTCTGCTAGTCCTAGTACCTGTTGCCTCTAATTGTTGGTAAAATTGACTACCGTACAATGAGACGTTAGTATTGACTGAAAAATGTTAATCATGTCATGATAATTCACTGTCTTAAATTCAGTAAATGTAATATATTTAAATAAACAACATTTAACTAAATAGAAAATAAATAATATTTTAACTGTTCCTATATATTGTTTCAGGGGACATATTTCTTTATATATTTGTTCAGATTGGTAGCAAGCGCAAATCCCTTTTTAGTGTGGTGTGTGTTACACTGTTACTGCTTCCCTTGTTTTTATAAAACCGAACCCTAAAATCCTAGCAGATAAACCCTGATTGAAATAAAAGCAAAAGTAAACTGAAAAAGCAACATTTGTACTGTATCCAAGCTTCATGTTCTTTGCTTTCTGTCTGCTCTTTCACGTTCAAAGTTGATGAATAAATTTAGAAAATCAATTAGCTTACCCTACTTTTATCTTCCTTTCATTTCAAGAATTTCCTAAATCTCTTGATTCCATGTCACCCCCATGATTTTTAACTTTGATTTATAACACCCTCCATGATCATTGAGAATATCGATACCGGATAACATAACTGTTGCATATTGATTTAATTTTAATTGTAATTAAGTTATGTTATATCATAATTTTAGTGATTGAAGATCGATTGATGATCAAATTTGTTTGATAAGAATGACTAGATTAAAAAAAAAATTGGCGACTAAGTTTATTTTTTTATAAATATGGAATAGATTTTAACCTTAAAATTACGAGGAAAATTATTTTGGAAAAATATCATCTTGTGATCTCTATAATTTTTAGGATGTTAGATGAAAAGATGGATTTTGTACGGATTGAAAGAGTTTTTTGAGAAACACCGAATTATATATATATAATGATACAAGAAATTTAATATATTTATTCTTTGTGCTCTACTTTTTGTTTCTTTAATCCGTGGAGGTAGATAATGTCGAACAAGGACGTATGTAGGATTTTATGTCAGGGGTATGAATCTTTAAGAAACTATATTAGAAATTTAAGAGTACGGAATTATAAATTTTCAGAGGTGTGAAATTATATCATCAATATAAAAGATAAGAAAAAAACATATAAACTATATGAATATTTAAAATTTCCAAGGGGTGTGACCGTCAACAACACCCTCCTCAATACATCCTTGATGTGAGATATCTATGTAAATCTTATTATGAGTTAATCTCATATTAGTTCATATCTTATTATTATTCCTTTTAAATTTTTTTACTGTATTACTTTTGTATGATATCATACTCTATTACGTTTCAATCCATACCTACAAAATGCTGGCCTATGATATTAATTTGGTGCAGTGATGTGCACATTTTATGTTAAATATAGATTAGTAATACTAAAAGCAGTGGTGGGGCAATATAATTAATGTGCTGGAAAAAACAGTGTGAAGGAATCTCTATGGAGTTGGCCTTCCAAAATCCTGAGTTTGCTCATCTTCTCTTCACACCAATGCAATTGTTGTTCGGTTAGATCGGCCATTCTCAAAACCCTAGACACCACTTTTAGGTCTATTAGACCCATCAATATATCCATCTCTTTCTCCATTTTCACTTTCCTTCTCCTTATGCATTTCTTAGACCTTCTAAGCTCCTTCAGCTTCATCCTTTTCTGTTATCATACAAATATATAATTAATTAGTTTTACATTCTCTAAAAGTATAATGAAAAAAATACTTTAACATTTAATTAAGTAATCACTTTGATTATGTAGTTGGTCAACAATTGATCAATGCTCCAAATAAGAGTCTTTTGCCCTAAAATGAAACATTATAGGCTAAAATATTCTAAAAAATAAGGACTAAAATAACTATTTAATTAAACGTTAATGATGCTTTTTCCCTAGAAAAGAGTCAAAATGCTCCAAAAGGAAAATAAATATTAAAATGACTATTCAATCAAATATTATGAAGATTTTATGGTATTAGTCACTCTATACAGTTATCTTAGGGTCAATTTGACAGGATTTTTGAAAAGTGACTTTTAAAAATGCGGTAGAAAAGAACTTTTAAAATTGTTGTTTAGAAATGCAATTTAAAATTTAAATGTTTGGGATTATTGTTAAAAAGTGAGTTTGAAAAGATAAAATCTCCATTATAGATATTATGTTGTAAATTTAAAATATAGAATTTAGATTATATTTACACTTATTAATAGTATTATATATAAAATATATCAATTAAATTATAATAAAAATATAAAATAAATTATTAAGTAATAAATTATTAAAATAAATTATTAAAATAAATTATTTTTTAAAGATGTTAATATTAAATTATTAAGTAATAAATTATATTAAATATATCATTTAAATTATATTTATTTTTAAATATTTAAAATAAATTATTAAGTAATAAATTATTTTTTAAGGATGTTAATGTTAAGTTATAAAATAAAATATAACTATATAATTGAGTGGAGTTCATACATTAATAAGGGTAAAATTATAATTTGTTCCCAAACGCAAAGTTGGTAATGAAAAAAATTACAAATCTTAGTATTTAGGGTTGGTTTGAAATTACCGTTTCTACCGTAATTTTTTTATATATTTTTTACTCATTTGACATTGATTTTACGGTCAAAACGGATTTTTTAACTAAAAGGAAGTTTGAAAATCCACTCCAAACGGTACCCTAGAGAATTCTAATGTTTTTTTGAACATTATTCATTGAGGTAGGAGATAAAATTAGAGACCTTACTTTGGCATTAACTTTTTTTCATGAGTTGAAGGAGTGTAGGGTCAACTGAACCTCTTGTCTTCTTTCCAAAGAAATTTCTAATGATTTGGCATGGTTTCTCCTTATCTGCCTTGAGAAAATTCATGAAGGTTTGGATTCCGTCCTCCATTATCACTCTAAATGTGTCTGCTGAGGTTCTTGACCCAAACCCTTCATCCCTTTCATCTTCTTCATAATCTTACCCCAGATCAAAATATATATTACTCCTTTAAGATATAAAATATAGTGTAAACTACATATTTAGTTACCCACATACTTTTACGATTTAGTTTTGGTCACTCAATTTTTTTTTAATTATACCTAATGTTACTTTTTTTTATTTTAGTCACCCACGTTAAAAAATAAACAAAACAGTTGACACATGTATTACCTTATAGCGATACGCAAGTATCATCGTTAATTTCTTAACGGTGAGTGACCAAAATAGAACTAAAATGTAACCTTAAGTATGATCTTTAAAAAATAATAGTTGGATGATCAACAAGAACTACGAGAATATGTGGGTGACTAAATACGTAGATTATCCAAATATAAATAAGAAAGCTATGATTTACCTCGATATTCAGGGACCAGAAGCAGCTTGGGGGCTAGAAGCCTCATCCTGGCATAAACCTCGGGTCTGCGCCCTTGCTCGTAAGGCTCGTTCTCGATGTATCTTTGTAAAAGAACCTGGAACTGCTGAAACTGCTGAGCAACCACGGCTGGGCAGTCGAAATCTTTGGGATCGGCTCTTTTGCATTCGAAGTTGTTGTAGCTCCAATTGAGTGCTTCCCAAGTCAAGCAAATTTGTGCAACGTATGCAGATTCCAGTTCATGGTAAGGGTTTTGTCTGATATCTGATGGCTTTTTGTTCATTGTGGCAAACCTGAGGATTATTCTCTCGGATATTGATCTTGGGCAAGCTTGAATGGACTCAGTGACTCTGGAAAACACAATTTCAAATACATAAACAAATATGCATTGTTCATATTTGAAAAAATTATTGTTGACGAGAACAAATTTATCTTGTTGGTTGTTTTCGTCGGTCGTTGTTCATTTTTTTCCTTTCTGAATTAGATAGAAAGTCGTGGTAAGTGAAAGAATAATCTTTGGACAATATTTTTGTAGGAAGACAGTTGAGAATTTAAAAAAATGTCTTGATCTTAAGGTTTCAGTCTTTTTCGGCCGTGTTAAAAGATATTTACAGCAACTCTAATTTGATAATGTCAGTCAGATTAAAAATTTAATCGTCAGATCTTAGATTTCTTTATGATAGATCATTAGATCATGTAAGAGGTTTTATCTATGCATAATAGTTGATTCACATGCTTATGTTTGGAGGCTAGAAGTTCCATAAGCGAAAATGTTTATTTGAAAACCTTAGTTGATGAAGATAGGATAGTTTACATAATCATATTTAGGAGTGTTCAAAAGATCGTGCGACCACCGAAACGACTAAATACTCATTAACGAATAATAAAAAAATTCTTTAACAGTTAACTTAATCGATTTTTTTAAATCATTAATCGAACTAAATAATGTTCGATTAATTCTTTCGGTGGCCGAATTAACCGAAATTCTTTTTTTAGATTTTTTAAATTAGATTAATTTGAGTTTAATATAGATATTTTTTTATTTGAGTTGAAATTTAGTTAGATCTTGATAATTTAGTTAGAGCTTTTGTGCACAGAATACATCTCCAGTATAATATATATATATATACCTGTTTCTTGGAGCTTTTGTGCACTGATTCTGTCTAGGAACATCATCTCTTCATCATATTTTTGAAATACTGTGTAGGATTCCCATTTGGGACAACTTCTTCTTGAGGAAGATGAAAATGGATCATCTGTTACTGAATCTCTGCAATTTATTGAGCTTCTCCACTCTGAGGAGCTCTTTGATGTCGACCCTATTGTGTAAGAATCTCCATAGAATTTTTCATCTTTATCCTCAGCTACTAGCGTCTTAGACTCCATTCTTGGTCCTATAACAAAAAACTTGTCACTCCTTGAAAAATCTGTTTGAACCCTTTGTGGGTCACTGAAAATTTCTGCAGAAACAAACAGAAAGTAAGCATCGGGCCAGCATGTGAAAATGATAATGATAAAGGTTAAATCCATGCACATACACATTACCATCATCATCTTCATCATTTCCATGTCACTTTTGTCCATTGGTGAGACTATAGGAGTGGGGCCGTCTTGGTTTTCATGATCATGCAAATCAGTATCATGATCATCATCAGCAGCAGAAGAATCTGAGCAAGGTGACGACTGCTCAGTGGAGCACGTTACATAATATTCTTGATCTTCATTCGTGATGAGCTGATCATCGTCTTCTTCATCGTAATCATCGCGTCGACACGATTTCGAGTCTTTCGAAAGCCGTTGTCATGGCGGAAAACAAGTGATTCACCGCCATGAATTATATCGGCCACAAGGTGGTCGTTTTCCGTGAAGTTCACCTTATAATTATACTTTTCAACGCCATTCTCTTCTTCTTCCTCCTCCGAAAACATGCCGTAATCGAATCCATTTCGAGTCCTGCAAACGAAACACAATTAATTCAAACAAACACAAATCACCAATGAATTTTTTCCATCAACAATGGGAAATCACAAAGACCTTGGGATGAGTGGGTAACTTCCAACGAAGGAGAAGAAATTGACAAGCAAAATGGATGAGGAGTATAGGAAGAGAAGGAGAAGCAAAGATGAGCTTGATAGATTGTAAAACAATATAACTAAAGCTTCTTTTTGCATATTTTCTTCGTTGTTTTGTGCTTTGGAATGAGCTCAAAAGCAAAGTGAAGTCTTTGGTTCAGAAAAGAAAGAAAAGAGAACGATGTGTTGCTTTCATTGGTTATTTGGTTTCATATACTTGGCTTCTTAAAGTGGTTTCCTTCTTGAAAATGACTAATCTGTCCTACAATATCAACTTTACCTATCAATCATTTTTCAAATACAATGGCAATAGGGAGGGCAAATCGGTCAGCGAATCACTACCCGGTCCAACCAGAAACAACAAACCTGACCGGTTGGACTTTTGATTTTTTTTTATAACCTAGAATTTATGCTCTTAGTGTATATTCCTATAGATATGTTGAAATATTTGAATGAATTTACAGTTAAGTTGTTCTCTATGAGATGTTAGTAAACAAGGTTTCATAATAAATGTACAAAAACTAAGCTTAAGTCGATGGATTTTCATTTTATTATGATCAATTATTATATATTTGAATTGATTTCATATTGTTTTTAGTATATTCCTAATTTTTAGGGTAAATTACATCGTTCTTCACTGAACTTTACTCTCTCTCCTATTTTACTCACCATACTTTTAATTTTTCTATTTTTCTCACTGAACTTTACAGATTAAATCATTTTTGCCAGTTAATTTTTAACGGTGTTATGACATGACACAAGCATCAAAACGATGTCGTTTTGAAAAACTCAAAACACCAAAATGACTTCATTTCGAATCCTCTTCTTTCCCTCCATTTTTTCTCTACTTTGCAATTAAGGTGAGCAGTTGTCGTCGCCAGCCACCACATCATTTTTCATTCCGACCACCGTCTATCGTCGTTGATAGTGGCCGTTCGTTCTCAAAATTCATGGGTCGGTTCGTCTTGACCCTTGAGTCCAAATCTAATGGTTGTTTCAACAGAAAATATCCCAAAATCTATAAATCCCGATTCAAATGTTTCAACTTCATCACTTTTAATCTTCAATTCGTGGATTTTAGAGCAAGTTCTGACAAAATGGAGGTCGGATTCAGACTCAATGTGTCAAGGCAAAGCGACCCATGAAATCTGGGACCGAACGACTACTGTCTACGGTGATCGACAGTGGCCGACGGTGGCTTCGCCCACCTTCTATTTTTATTTTATAGTTGGGTGAATAAAATAGGAGCGAGAGTAAAGTTAAATGAGGAACAATGTAATATACCCATTATATTTATGGCCACCTTCTGTTTTTATTTTATAGTGGGTGAACAAAATAGGAGCGAGAGTAAAGTTCAATGAAGAACAATGTAATTTACCCTTTATATTTTCAATTTTTTTATATTAAATAATAATAAAAAAATGACACATCATCACATTGTTAAAGAGTTAACAACAAAGTGAGCAAAATTATTAAATTTGTAAAGTTCAGTGAGCAATATAGAAAAAATGAAATTATAGTGAGTAAAATAAGAGATAAAGTAAAGTTTAGTGAGGAACAATGTAATTTACCCTGTTTTATTGGTGTGTCGTTTATCTCTTTTTTTTCTTTTTATCATCTTTATTGATCGGAGATGATACCAACTTTAATGTTGGTGCCGATTGTCAGTATTATTTATTAGCCTTTTATTTTCTTTTGTTTTTTATTTTCAATAAATCTGTTTGCATGACACGTTTTCATTGTCTTTATATCAAATTTTTTTCTGTCATTTGACACGTTTTTCGATCATAAGATCATTGTTTTCACTTATATTTTTATAAGATTTATTTGGCATCGCCTCGACTAATCAAGATGATGTTTATCTATTATATTGTTGATATTCCATACTTTGGACAATTGGATTGGATTTTGATACCCATTATTCGTTCGTGGATAGCTTTTCATGTTACTCGAGTCTAATTTGTGATTTGTCAATAGTTTTTCAGTAATTTGATTCCCTTTTTTTGGTTCATTTGTCGATACGATCAGATCTGTTTATATCATCTTTGTTCGAGTTTATTGGTTAAGTTTTAATCTTTCCTTGTATGGTCCTTATGTGATATTAAGTTACTAGTTTTGTTTCAATAATTATAAAAAAAATCGTCCTAATTATGTGTTTAATTTACTATTATGATTATAAATCTTTATTGTAATTTAAAATATTTATTGTTTTGAATAAAATTAATGATTTTTATAAAAATAATAATAATAAAATGAAAAATTAAGTTTTAATTATTCAAATCATCGCAAAATCCTAAATTGGTTTAAATCAATTTTTTCTATTTTATAAAATTTTATTATTTTTTAAGGCAAAAGGGTCACCTTTGCCACATAGTAAACCCAATTTATTATTTTCGCCCCTATTGTATTTTTGCATCAATTTAGTCCTCAAAGTTACTCAATTGCATTATTCTACACCCTATCCTTAAAATCCTAAATTATAAACCTAAACGATAACCCCTAACCTCTAACCATAAATCCTAAACTCTAAACTTTAACTTAAGGTTTTAATTTAGGGTTTTAAGTTAAGGGTAGAATATAGAATGATGAAATTAAACAACTCTAAAGGTTAAATTGATACGAAAATATAATAGGGTAAAAATTATAAATTGAGTTTACTATAGGGGCAAAGATGTTGACTTTTTTTAACTAATTTTACCCCGATTAGAATAATCTTTGCATCAAAAGCATAAAACAATATTAAAATGGCATTAGAAACTGAGATTCATTAAATAAAAAAATATTTATATTATCTTATTTTATATGAATTTAAATCTTGATATATAATATAAAGTTAGAGTTACTATCTTATCCCATAAACCTAAATAACAACAAAAGAGAATGAAAAGAAGAGACCAAAACCTGACTACACGCATCTAATTATAAGCAAGTATTGTTTTTTTTTTTTTGCTTTATAAAAGAATTAATATAAATACTATAATTTTTATTAGTAATAGAAAAATAGTGAATCGTGTAACATAAATTAAACTAATTGGATTCATATAGTTAATTTTGGAAAAGTCATGTGTCACTTTTTGAAAAATGAAGCCTTTACCTTTTTTTTTATAATTTGGGTCATTTTTTATAAATCAAATTAATTTTATTTTTTTTATTTTGTTTAGCCAACGACGACATTAATTTTAATGTTGGTTGTCGACCGTCGATTGTATTTTCTCTTTGTTTTTTTTAATTTTTTTAATAAGAATAATTATGTCTTTGTGGTACATTTATCTCCGTCTTTGTGAAACTTTTTCTCTGCCTTTTGATAATTATTGGTCATTTGGCTGCTATTTTTGTTTATCTTTTCCTCAGGATTGAATTCAACATAGTCATGACTGATCAAGATGATGTTTATTTGTTATCATGTTGATCTTCCATGCTTTGGACTCTAAGATTTAGATATGTGTTTTGCATTCTTGAATAATTTTCTCACGTTGCTTGACTCTGATTTGCAATTTTCAGTGGTCTTTTAGTATCTTCGTCCCTTTTTTAGTTCGTTTGCCGATGCAGTCAGATTTGTTTGTATTTTTATTTTGTTCAAGCATTTTGGTTAAAATTTTTAACATTTTTCCTTCTTTGGTCCTTGTGTGATCTATGTGGCTAGTTTTCCTGTAAATGGTTATAGAAAATTGTACTAATTATAATTTACTTTACATTTACAATTATACTTTGTAAATCTTTATTGTAATTTTGGATATTTTTTTATTTTTTAATAAAACCAACGACTTTTTATAAAATAAAAAAGACACATCCTTTATTTATTTCGATATTATGAATATATTTGATTTATTTTTATAATTTTATAAATTAAACTAATGTCAATCGACTTATAAATCATTACACCAATTTTTATAAATTAAATTAATATCAATTGGCTTATAAATCATTAAACCAATTTCTTTTTTTTAAAGTTAAGATGATAATATTGGTTATAATATGTTTTATCATTACAAACATATGTAGGGGTAAAACTTGAGATATTCTTTGCCTCTGGTCTAAGTTATGAAAAAGACTTATAAAGGTTGAAGTGTGGAAGGGTGTCTTCGAGGGCATTTTGTCTTGGAAATATGTCATACAATTTGCTGCATGTCCCGAACTTGGTTCCCTAGGTACTTTTCCAGCAAAATGCTTTTTCCTTGGGATTTTTGTCCCACTTTTTTTTTTTAATATAAATAATTTAAGACCCACCTTGCTCATCAAGTGATTGGCTAAAATGACATTAGTGGTTAAGAGATTTTATTATCTCTTAAGATTTTGAGTTTAAATATGACGTTTGTAGAGATGTTTGAGCGTTTATTGTCAAAAAAAATTAAGAATCTTTCGAACATATATTATCTTGTACACTTTATATTAATTAAAAAAATACACCAAACGTTATGCTAGATTTTATCGAAAATCTGAACCCTATTTAAGACCGGACAATGCACAACAAAAAAAGTGATAAAGTGAAAGATGCACATATGATTTTATGTCGAAAATAAAATTTTATAATATTTTAAATAAAATAAAAATAAATTATCAACAAAAATATAAAAATATTATGACATTTTAAACTTTTTATAAGGAAGGCAATAATTTAGAACATAATATATATATAAATTTAAAAAATAATCAAATCATCTTTATATTTTCCATATTCAAGTTTTTTATTTTTTTTCCACAACGAATCATATAATTTTAAGTTTTTTAATCGATTCAATCATAAATCACTATTTTTTTTATTTAATTGATTAAATCAATCGATAAAATTATATTCAGACCATCATAAATGTCGAATTTATGTTTAACCACAAAATTTTCTTCTCTTGATCATTTTAAAAAACGACTATTTTTATGTTGTTGAAAAATATTTATTCAAAGATAACTATCGATTTTTGATATTAAACTCTTAATACTTGAATCCGAATCTTTAAGAAATATCAATAATTACTTTATCGCAAATATTACTTGGTTCGTACACATATACATAATGTTGGATAAAGAGAAAAATCTAACTATCAATCTATCATCCCTCGTTCAATGAAAATAGCTTGTGGGCAGTCCAATCTCACAAGTCTGCCAATTGTACATAGGCTTTAAGTTATTGGATCAGATAGGATAAATAAAAAG